TTGAAAATTGTAGAATATATCTTGCAAGGAAAGGAGATTTCTCTCAAGTTTCAACTTCTAAATCATTTAACTACTTATTTTCAAAACTTAAAAGGTAAATAAATATTTTCCAATTTTGCTTCAACGTATTTAAAGTGTTCTAGCCCAAAATTTGCTAAAGTACAGTATTCTTTAGTAGTTCTTATTTAAGAAGATAAATGTTAAAAACATTTGAGTCTAAAAGTCATGTTAGCTTATAGTTAATGAATATATATCCCTTCATCCTATCTATTTGAACTTTTAGGCTTCAGGGTTTTGTTCATTTGTTTTTTTAAAATTTGTTTCTGAAGGGTTACATTGCCTACTTCATGCTTTACTAATACGAATGTCAAATAAACTTATAATACTGAGAAATGTATTTGGTAACTAGAACTGCAAAAATGCTGTCAAAAGATGGGCATGGGTCCTGACAGACAGCAGATGACTTAATCTGAGGTAATTTATAGTGCTTTATATCAGTTTTGGTTTAGACTCCATAACTTGATCACAATGAAAGCCATGGAGAGCATATAGCATAACCAAAGGGCTTGGCACAGCTCAATGGTTGGACCAGCACTCTCTGCATAAGTCATGAGGTAAATATACTCTGCTGGGTCAAGTTTACTGTATGCTGGAATCTTCTTTCAGATGAATCACCATATTCAAATAGAAACTAAAGGAATTTCCTGCTATTGACAGTTACAGATAAATAAAATGCCTGAAGAAAAATATGCATAGCCTTATAATAGCATATTTATTTTATATGTCCATGCATCACCTCTGGTATTGAGAATCCTTCTTTCCTATCACTAAATTCCTAGTTGTGAAGCTGATTTCATTCTTTTGCTCTAAGAGTAACGTGGCACTTCTAACAGTCCTCTACAGTGCTATGTTTGAGTCGCGACTATGCAAAGCAGAGTCTGAGCATCAGAAATAATTGCTTTTACACTGCATTGAAAAATGCTAGGGAGTCACACTTTTTGTTCCACTTGCTAAACTTCCTTAATAAAGCCAACAAAAGCTTTCAAAGGTGGAATTTTATAGTAGCAAATGTCAGTGCAGACCTGTTAAACACAGTGAACTTGCCTGCTAGAGCAAGCATTCCACCTAAATTGACTAGGTGTGGTTTCTATTCATTGTTCAGTTACACTGAAGAGAATCTGTTCTCGCTCCCAACCTTTTTAGGTTGACATTCCCTTTATCTAGGGGCTTATAATAAGCAAGCTATATTCAGTTTTACAAAGGCAAGATGTGCTCTTCTGGTATCCTAGAAACAAATCAAAGTATGCTTTGTGGAAAGACCTGAAGTTCAAGCCAGTGATACAAATGAGTATTAATGTGCAATCATACAAATAGAGGACTGGAAAGTTTTAAACAAAATTCATTTTAAGGATAAGTATAAAATTATTAGTAAGTGGGTGATTAAAAGAGAAAAAGAGCTGTTTGCGGGAGAGTGGGCACCACAGAAATTAAGTAAAATTATACATTACCTCTGTAATAATACAACGATCAGGATCCATATTAAATTTCTTCCAGAAGAGACTGACACATTTTACTGAAAATCACATATACTCGCTCAATTACAACATATCTACAAAGCGACTTTCTAGATCACCGAGGAGTATCTCAGGATTAGATTTTTGTGCACAATTTACTTTCAGAAATTAATCACACTAATTAACTATATTAACTTATCACATCTCAATAGCTACCATTAAATAATCTATGAAGTAAAAAAAATTTCTAATTGTTCCCTGGGGTCTTCTCTGTGATACTTTATATCTTGTAACATGCCATAAAATAAACTGCACTGCAGTGAGTCATATCAGTTATCTTTTGCAGCCTGCGATCTGAAATTGGTCTCACCAAAGAAAAAAGGGCAACTGATCCTATTATCAAATACATGGAGAATCAAATTAGAAAGCACAAATGTAGAAGTTACAAAACTCAAAGAATGTCTTTTTCACGTCTTAAAAAAAAAACCCTTCCCTATCTGTCTAGTATGACCCAGGATAATCAATAGTGCATGAAGGGGTGAGGCATGGAAAGGAGAGATTCTCACAGACTGACTATAAATACAGTTGGCTTCCCTCGTTCACTCCTTCTTTACCCTATACCTGGCTCTCAGAATCCATGAGAGAGGGCATTAAATTGGTGTTTTGAAGCTGTTCCTTGATCTTTGTCTCCCCCCTTGTCCTTGCCTGGAGCTGTGGAGTGAACCCAGGGCCTTGTACTTGCTAGGCAAGTGCTCTACCACTGAGCGAAATCCCCAACCCTTGCCCCTTCACATTCAAAAAGATACATGCTCGGGCACTATAGCATATACCGGGATCAGTGCTAGATATTAAAATATTGTTCTGTTCCCTGCTCAGTCCCATGTGAGCCTGAAAATAGTAATAGTAAGTTAAATACTTCTTTGTTATAGTCAATCTTTAACCAGCATTCCTCTACCCTAGCTATAGCTTCTAGCAATAACGCTGTATTATTTATTACTGTGAGTTCAACCTTTTCAGTATTCTACATACAAGTGAAATCATGCAGCACTATCACCGTCAATCTGATGTGTTTCTTGGCATAATGTTCTTTCGGTTAATCCATGTTCTCTCATTTTATAATGAGGCATAATTGTATTATTTACACCTTAAAATATTTATTTTACATTTACACATTATATTTAAATTTACCACTTACATTACACTTTAAATATATACACAGGCTAGAAGAATGGCTTAGACGTTAAAGGCTCAAACTCACAACCTAAAGTATAAATATAATCACTTTTGTCAATTATACACTTATAGTGAGAAAACAGTAAAAACTCCTTTGGTTTATTCTCACGTACGTACATGCTCACTAAACATGTCCACTTATCTGTGAACATTATTGCTAGCATCCCTGCCTATACAGGTAGATAATCCTCCAGTGTGTGAAAGCCAAAAAGGTTTTTATATGGGTTCTGACCATGTAAGGTATTACTGAAGGTCATTTGAGCTCTAAAGAGCCTACTGGTGAACTGAGGATTAATTGATCAATGTAATTAATAATCAGCACTGAGCTGAAAGACAAGTATGTCTGGCAAACTAATAGTATAGGACATGAAATCTGCCTTATCTAAATCTGTCGAGGTATTTCAGAAAAAGAGTATCATGGAGAAGAATGTCAATGACTCCCTCCTGTTGTTCCACTTACGTACACAGATGTGCTAGTTAAAGGTGCTATATCAATACATTGCTCCTTGCAATCTGAGAGTCAATTCTGTATTGAGATAAGCTTTGCTGAGAGCAGACTATCCCACTCCCATTTTTTCATTGCTTCTAAGTGCTTATGTATAAATTTCAGCTTTTAGGGAGTTTACAGTACAGTCACTGAATAGGTAACAAAGGAAACACAGTCCTTTCAAATTAACCTTATTAATGGTTTAAAAGAAGCATGCTAGCTACAATTTGAATCACTGTGCTAATTACAGTCTCTAAGCTAAATTTGAGACCCAAAGAACTGTAGCAGAAACAGGACAGTTTTCTATTCTCACTGAGAGCTATGAGACTAAAGCATAACTTTGTATTTTAAGGTAGCAGGATGAGATTAATTCTCAGTGTCACAATATGAATAGTTGAAGCTTAATCACTTTTTTTTTATGGGAAGAGAATTTTATTTTGGCTCATACAGAGGGTTTCCATCCATGGTAGTGGAGAAGGTATGGCAGAGCTCCCGGTGGTAGGGCCACGTAGTGAAGTTGTCCACAAAATACTGGATATTTTTCTAGAATGACACCATAATATTACTAATTTCTGTAAAGGAGACATTGTGCCTAGATTGAAGTAAAACCAGCATCAGATACTGGCCAGCAATCTTCAAAAATATCAAATTCACAGGAAGTAGGACACACCTAAGATACATATCACAGAACACAGGCTAGAAGGGCAACAGAATTCAAATAAATGTTCCATGTTATCCTAGATTGGACACTGGAATAGAAAGAGCACATTAACGAAAAAAAAAAAAAAAACTCAGTGAAGACTAAATAGTCTTCTATAATATATGAATGCCAGCTTCTTGGCTCTGATACATCTATTATAGCCATACAAGATAGTAACAGTACATGTGTATGTGGACGGATGTGGCCCAGTAGTAGCATGCTTGTATAGTATACACAAGGCCTTGGATTGCATTACCCTCTCTGTAAAAATTAAAATCCAAGTTTAGGGCAGAATGTATAGTTCAGTAGTAGGAAGCATGTCTAGCATGTGCAAGGCCCTGAGTTCAATCTCTATCCTCCCAAAAAAGACAGAGAAAGAAAGAAGAAAGAAAGAAAGAAAGAAAGAAAGAAAGAAAGAAAGAAAGAAAGAAAGAAAGAAAGAAAGAAAGAAAGAAAGAAAAGACATCTGGGTAAGACAAAATGGGTGCTCTCTCTTCTGCTTTTGAAGATTTTCTAATCAATCTAAAATTATTTCAAAAAACAAAAGTTATTGAAAAGTAGTCAGAAAACCAAGCATAGCAGCATGTGCTGGGATTGTGTGTTTAGTTGGAGGCCATAGCAAAACTTCATCACAAAAACTAACAGAAACAAAGAAAGGACAACAAATCAAAGAGAATTTTGTTTGGATTAATGTCCTAAAACTAAAAGGTTTTTGTGCAATAATAATCCAACTTTCTCACCATCTTAAAATGCTTCTTCTCTTTGATAATACTCTTTTAGAAACTTACACATAAATGCAACCAGGGTTTTAGTCCAACATACAACTGATTGCTCCCTTCACATGAGTAGCTCTGAAACTGTTAGTGGCGTAGGAGCAGTGCCCTAAATCTTGGAGTAACTAACTTCTCAAAGGCCCTGCAATGCTACTCAAGGTAAACATATAAAAGACATGGGGTTGGGGTGTATAGCTAAGCAGTGATGCATTAGTCCAGTATTCAACATCAGAGCAAACAAACAGAAAACCCCACGCACACCGGTAATTTTCAAAGACTCAGCTGTGACTTACAAGGGATGGCATTTGAGCATTTTGGAGCATAAGCTGCATCTGTTGGGAGAACATGGCTGCTGCAGTCTTCTGTTGAATCAGATTGTTCCTCCCATTAACTTCTAGCTGTGTTTTTAAGTGGAGAGGAGGGTGAAAGTACCTGCAGTTCTCTCGAGTGCACCGACCCTGACAGGAAAAAAAAAAAAAAGACAAACTTTCATTTAGTCTTTTTGATATGGTTAAGGAAATAATAGGAACTTACTAAGCTCTTACGTGCCAATAACAGCCACAGGCACTGTCAATGAAGTCACTCATTTACTTTTCCTAACAACCCTATAAAACAGATTATAATCTTTATTTTCCAGCTGAAGAACCTAGACTAAAAGAGGCAAAGTGACCTGCCTATGGGTACAGAGCAGCTAAAAAATGAACTGGACCTTTAAAACCCAGTTGGTCTGATTCCAAAACTCTTCTTAGCTATGCTTCTTTGTTCTACTTTGGTAAGCATCAGATCATATTTAGAACATACAATATTATGAAATATATATCATAAATTTTAAATACAAAAAATAAAAATCTTTCAAGAAGAAACATAAAATCACATCTGTTTTAAGACTTGAGATTTGGATCCCCATGCACAAGTAATTAAGAAAATTCAGAGAAGATATTTAACAAACACAAATTCTGAACACTATTTCTTGCATCAATTTAGATTCCACATTTATAATGTGAAAAATAGTCTGAAATCTAATGACATTCTGATAATCAGACAATGAATCTGTATGCCTGGAGGTCAAGTTGCTCTTTAGGTTCTGGAAGCAGTGGCCTTAGGTCATTTGGATACTTGAGATCAAAGTATATTTTGGATTTGCAGTTATTTCAACATTTTATTTGTGGCTTAAGCACTGTCAAGACAGGTTAATACATGAGTTCCATGGAACCGAACATGTCTTTGATTCATGCCCATAATCTTAGCTTTGAGGCGACAGAGGAAGGAGGATTGTTGTGAGTTCGAGGCCAACCTGGGCTACAGAGTTAAACCTTCTTTCAAAACCCAAAAACACATGCCTTTGATTTCACCTAATTGCTGACACAGCAGTCGATTATGTGGTAGCAAAGAGTGTCACTGGACAAGTTGTTTATTAAAATGTCTTAGTATGACCTATTATTGTATTCAACTGCATGCAGCAACTAATGAGTATTCTATTTGGATTACTAAATCAACCATAATCCTTTTAAGATAAGCACAACTACAAGTAAAACATTTTCCCACAGACACTAAGATTCTTTACAGTGCAAGAGGTTATTGAAGGAGGAAGGATAAGGGAGAAAAGGGCAACTTTTTTGGGGGGGGGCAGGGATGGACTCAAGAGTGCAAGTTGCTAAGCCACCCAAATTGCCAGGAGAAAAATGGGTTACCTGAGCAAGTGTTTTCATTCAGTATCCTACGTGTCTTATTCATGATGCCTAAATAATATATGCAGTTATTTTTCCATATTTTATTTTCTTTCTATGAAAATAGTCCTTTAATTTCATTGTGAATCAAGGTATGCCCATCAGAACATTTAGAGAACTACATACAAAAATGTAAACTCAAATGTATTGTGACTGATCTTTTTTGTGGAAAATCCTCATTAAACACACACACACACACAACACACACACACAAACACACACACATTTAATGGCATGATAATTGTACATGTTCACGAAGAAGAGGGTGATGTTTCAATACCCATATCTAATGTATAATGTTTAGATCTGGACAATTAGTTTACCAACTTGGAGGCAAGCCCAACCTGCAGCCAGCAGGCCACATGCAACCAAGGCTGAATGCAAGCCAACACAAAATCAAAAACTTACTTAAAACATTATGAGTTTTCTGTGACTTCCTTAATTCAATTGAGAGATTCTCAAGCCTGAACTTTGTAGATGATGGCATCGCATCACAATGGCAAAAAATTGGACACTCCTGCAAGTGTTTATCATTTGTGCAGTAAATGTTCCCACCTTCATGTTCACTATTTTGAAATATATATTAATTGCTATCTATCACAGTATTCCTCCTATCTAGTTACACTGCTGTACCTAATAGTCACATTATTGGGGGGAAAGCTGAGTATAATTTAAAACCTAGTGTGAAAAACTGAAGGTACAATTATTATTTTCTATTATTTGTCCTTTTGTTCCTTCCACGGATAAATTTATTTTTAATCACGTTAAAATGATTTATAAAATTGATGAATACCCTCAATTCAAATGTACCTTCATATTTTGTTAAATCCTAGAAAAAGAAGAAATTATAAGTGTTGGAAATGCTATTAACCCAATTCTCCTGTATTTGTACAAGTAGCCTAGTAAAAGCTATATAACTGAACTATGTTGAGAACTGTAAAGGAATTTCAACATACACTAAAACCACAGTCATGGGGGTCTTTCCCCAAGGAAACCATAAAGGTCGTTTTCCATCTACTGTGTCTCCCTTTAAGGCTCTGGTAGTCACAGGGATTAGAGTGCCTGGATCTTGCACCCTCCACCAACAAAACTGGGGCTATCTAGCTCAAAATCCAAAGCTTGAAGCATTCATGGTACTCGGTGACTTCCACCACCAGGCATGGGAATTTATGCTTCTATTTCAGCTTTCCTGCTATTCCTTCCAGACCCCAACAGAAAAGACTTCCCCAAGGCTCATGCCTAAATCCTCTGCTCGCTTCTCTCCTCATGTCCCTAGAGAAGTGGAGTTGTTCCAAAGTTTCAAGCAGCCCTGCAATGTGCAGATCTTAAATCTCACCTACCTCTGACCTCTCTTCTGAATTTCAGTCCTTTCCATCAGCAGCTGCAGCTGCATTTGGAGATCTTGCCCTCAAACCAGGTGGAAATACCTTACTCCTGACCTTTGCCTATCTCCCATCTTACTGCATAGTTTTATTCGGGGGTATTGCATCAATTCCTATGGTTTGAGGCACTTACAGAGCAGCAGTGAGAAAAGAAATCAGGCAGTTGCTGAGCAGGCTTGCCTTAGCATTGCAAAGCCTAGATAATAAGACAATTAGCACACACAACTATAGAATACAATTTGTAGCCACTCTGCAAAAGATAAAAAAGAAAGAAAAAGTATATAAATGCTATCATCCATATTCAGGAATTCCAAACAATAGAGTATTTTTAAAAAGGAAAGAGAAAAGAATAATTGGGATTTTAGCATTTGTTAAACTTTATATCATTTTAACATCATTTACATTTACTATAATCGGGGAAAGAGGAAAAACAAAGAGAGGAAGGAAGCACAGTGTATTTGACACATTTTCTGCCAACCCAGAGATAAAAAAATGAGCATGCCTTTATGATTTTATATCACTGTCCATTACAAATAGTAACTTCTCTTAAGTCTTTTTTTAGAAGCTAATGAGACTTTTTACAAATCAAAAAGAGTACACAGAAATAAGAAAAAATTACACTGTAAAAATTATATCAACTTGGGCTATGAAACTAAAGCATAGGATATGAGGCAGCATGAGATCTAAAGAAATGTATTCATCTTAGTTATGAGATTTTACTTGATTTATAAAGCATTGTTTTTTGAATGACAGAATCCATAATTTAATTCTATAACAATGCAAATGCATAGCAATACCACCTTGCCAGACACTGCTGCTTATGTTAAAGAAACCTTATAATATTTAAAAAATCTGCATTTTCTATCAAAACAATAGATGAGGAGACCAAGTAATTTATTATCTGTTATCTGTGGAATACACTTGTACAAAAGAAAACCAAGCCCCTTGTGTTTTTTTAAATTCACTTCAGAATACAGAATTTATGTACTTATAAGCAGAACACTTGGTGATAATAAACCTCTAGATAAGATTTATTCTTCAAGAGGCTCAAATTTAGTTATAGGCTTAAATATTATAATTGACACGGTGGGGGATACAAATTATTTTTTAATATTTGGTAACCTTTACTTTTTAATCCTTGGTGATAAAAAAAAAGGCTTCAGTAGAGTATATATGAATAGGACGGGGTGTGGGGGGGTATGTTCCAAAACTACATTCCTGTCCTTTGTAAAACATGACTATGGACTAGAAAAGCACCCATCATGTCCCTAGGTCCATAAAGCAGTCAAAGGGGACCACAAGACATCCTCTCACAATGGATCCATAATAGCACGGAAAGGATCTTGGGTCTAAAAATAAAATTCCTCAAATTTCCATAGCTAAATCAATGGTATTTCAAGCCTTCTGTGTTCTTATCTAGACCCAGAGGTTTAGAGTTGCCAAATATTAGTAATGTATTAATTAGATCATGCTGGGCAGGACTATGAATGTTATAACTATGACAAACAACATCCTTTAGCAGAGATTATATCCTAAAATAGCAACTAATGCTGGCCAAAACATGTAAAGCAACCTCTCCCACCCCATAAACAAACACATCAATTTTAAAATAAAATAAAGAACAAGATCATTTACACTTGCCTCAGTTTCCCGCCTTTCCCACTTTCTTTTGGTCTTAAAATCATGTCACTCTCATCTGGTCTTTCACTATGTTACTCCATTAAGGAACTAGTATTGTGGTTCAACAGGAAAGAAGTTCTCTGCTGAAATAAGTACTCCTACACTGATGACTCTTCTAGCTCCCCCTTTCCCACCCACCGTCTTTAAAAATGCAACCAAAAAGCAGCATGGGAGGGAATGGCCTATGACATCTGAACTACATCTGCATCAAAAAGTTGATAACAGACAAAGGAGAAAGTTGCAGAGCATTTATAAAACCTCCAAAATTCAATCTATTGCCTTTTTCACACCTTCAGGCTTTTCATAAGTGAATAAAAAGCCTTTGACTGAGAGAGAAAAGTAGCATTGTACTGATTCAAATCCTACCTAAGTCTTGGGAGTCAGAGTCTGTCAGCTTACTATGCACTTGATAGAAAAACCCTGTGAAAAGTACTTTTTATGTTCATGAGAAAGCTCTACCATCGATCAAAATAAGAAAAGGACCCTAGGAAGCTGCAATTGTCAGTATCTCTAAGAAAAACAGCTGTTTGCAGAATGACTTGCTTCTTCAAATACATTTGGAGTTGGGGGAGGAGACCAAAAAATATCCTCTTCTCTCAAATAACTGGATTACCTTCAAAGACAATCTCACTGACTTGCCACACTACCAGCACTTAAAGCTAAATGTTA